ATGTGTGACATGTCTGAAAAGCCCAGGACGTCCTCTTTGGAGAACAATTGGAGTTAATGCTGTGGCATGTATAACCCATGGTATAACCTCAAAGTAATGGACCAAAACCCAATGTGCTCCACAGAGGACAGACATTAATGGGTTGGTCTCTGGAGGATGGCAATAAAACCTTTGAGTCTTTGAATCTTTGAGTCTTTGAACTTCTTTTTCCAATGGGTCTTTCATTCAATGGGAACTATATGTGGTTTTGTACGTCTATAAAAATGTCAATACAAATTTAAGTGAACAAAAAAAAAGACATGTTTTTAATATATCTGAGACCATAAAATATGCCTAAAAATAGTATAATAGGACACCTTTAATTAAATGACCTGTTTATAAAAAATCATCACCTTTAAAGTGTTGTTATAAAATAATTCCTCCCAACAGCAAGATGGCGCTGCAGTGACGTCACACGGCCCCTCTGCCCCAACAAGAAGACGGCGGCGTGACGTCACTTCCAGTTAATAATTTCCACCATGGAGTCCTGCGGAGTGAAGCTGAATTTCTGGGAGAATGGACCCCAACCGGGACAGCTTTACTCTCTGTCTGGCAGCACCGGGAGCACCGGGACCTCCTGCGGGCCGGTGCGACACACACTGTGAGTCAAACCGGGGCTTTTAACTGGTCAACTGAACCCGGGAATCAGCTCTCGCTTTCGGTTCCGCTGAGTGCTGCATCATGGAGCTAACTCATGCTAAGCTAACTGCTAGTTTACTGCCTTTTCGTATCAGAATATAAACTCTGTGGTCAGTTTAATTAACTTGGATGATGAATTAGAATCTGTGGTTCTTTTTTTAAGAGTTAAATAACAGTTTGTTTACTTTTCTGGTCCGTTTTGCTGACTAACTGTTAGCATCCGGGAGCTAATGCGCCACAGGAAACAGATTGACTTTCCAACAACAAAGCAGGTTATTAAAGTCAACCTGTGTGTCTAATGAGTAAAGGCGGTATATTTACACAAATGCATACATTCCACAACAAAGTAAACCGTATAATAAATACAGAGTTATTACTCAATTGAAAGGGAAGTACATTTCAGCTATTTTAATGTTTAGTCTTACACTTCTTTATTTACCAGGGACAGAACACATTAATACATTTATGTAAATGTGCCAAGAGGCTGTTTAATCTGTAATCCCTGGACCGATGTTGTAAATCATCCTAAAGACACATTTCATTTAAAATAACCTGTACATAGAACCAGTAAAAGTGTGCAACATGGCTTACAATACTGGGAATGCTAATATAAAACATACATATTACAGGCAAGAAGATAGCATCAGGTTAAGGCAGTACAGACACACACACGTAGAGACAAACAAACACACACATAGAGACAAACACACACACGTAGAGACAAACACACACACGTAGAGACAAACACACACAGAGGGTTGGTCCATTGTTGACAGAGCTGCTTCCTGACATGTTTTTAAATTAGGCGAGTGTGTGTTAGAGAAACTGCCTCTGGAGGGAACACAGGGATTTTAGCCTCTGCAGACCATTGACATGCACTGACTATAGAACACGCTGCAGGGACTCTTTAACATATAAATTGCCAGTAAAACCTCCAGGAGGAAACGCAGATTAAAGCAGCACGTTGTTCTCAGACTCCACTAATGTGTTGCTCTGTAACCCATTGATTTAACCTCCTCTCTCCCCTCCTGCAGGAACCCGATGGTCACCGGTACCTCGGTGCTCGGGGTGAAGTTCACCGGCGGCGTCATCATCGCGGCGGACATGTTGGGATCGTACGGGTCTCTCGCTCGCTTCAGGAACGTCTCGCGCCTCATGAAGGTAACGAGAAAACGCTATTAATCCCAATTACACCGCGCCTCTACGCTTCCATGCTCGACAAATCACTGCTTCTTGCACATTGTTGCACAACCCTCCACTTTAAAATGTAATACACTGTATATTATTATAATAATCATAATCATATATTACATTTGTATAGCGCCTTTCAAGTGACCCAGAGCTGCTTCACATGGTGAACAAACAAACAAACAAGAAGGGCACATTTTAAAGTTAAATAAATAGCAGTAGAAGTGAAAGACTGTGATGGAGTTAGGGGTCAAAGGTCATGGTGAACAGGTGAGTTTTTAATGAAGACTTGACGATGTCCATACTCATTGTCATAAGGGCAGCGATGCTAATGTAAACACCGACCATATTACATCCAAAACAGTCGGGCATTGTTTCTGATAGCAACGTTTCTGATAGGGCTGCGGGTCCACGTTTCAGATATTACGTCATATCGGACGCAAATCTGGATCAGCTCCGTTGTTCCCCGTTTTTAGAGATTTGGGTATGGAGGAAAAGAGAGAGGGTTTTATTTTTGAATTGAATTCATTAATCCCAATCCGGGACATGTTTAGTTGCAGCATCTTAAAACAGAACAAGACATTAAAAGAGTAGAAATAAACAATTCTAAAATATAAACATCTCAAACAGAAGTCGTCTCCCCCTCCAGGTCCATGGTGTTTATCTCTTTGTTGTTTTCTTTGCTGTAAGTGAAGTGTTTGTGTTTTCCAGGTGAACGATAACACCATCCTCGGAGCGTCTGGAGATTACGCCGACTACCAGCACCTGAAGCACATCATCGAGCAGATGGTGTGAGTACCACCCCGGAAGAGCCTCCTCCCATCTGCTCTGTGCTCCGATGGATTTCAATTATGCATTTAAACAAAGAAACTCAAAGACGCGTCGGAGAGTAAAAAAACATACTTGGAACGACAATATCAGACACAACATTAATTACAGATTAAAAGCAGTTCTGAAGAGGCGATATCCTTTCACTTAGTATAATAAGTCTTTATTGTCAATCTTTCAGTTTGTGTGCGCAGACAGAGAGAAATACCATTTCCCACAATCCAGAGGAATACAAATGTATACACACATAATCAGCAGACACATTTATACATAAATAAAGGCACAACAATCAATAAATACAAAATAACAGTCACTTCTGTGTGTGTCTGTGTGTGTGTGTGTGTGTGTGTGAGAGAGAAAATAGAGCAAGAAAAGTCTATAAACAAGTAAATGGAATATAGATAGATGAATGTTCTTCACGGGGCTCAGGTGTTTACGGTCTTATGGCCTGTGGGATGAAACTCTCTGAGTCTGCTGTCACGTGTTTTTAAATGAGGGGAGTTTGAGAGAGAAACTGTTCTTTAGTCGTGAGATAAAGTCTCCTGCTGGTTCCTCAGTCTCTCACCATGAGCTCAGCAGCTACAGGGGAGACATGTCGATGAGAAACTGAAGTCCTCCTCCAGCAGAGCAACATGAATATATATAGGACACAGATGTGATTTACCGTCTCCGTGTGTTCCCTCAGCATCGACGAGGAGCTCCTGGGCGACGGCCACAGCTACAGCCCTAAAGCCGTCCACTCCTGGCTGACGAGGGTCATGTACAACCGGCGCAGCAAGATGAACCCTCTGTGGAACACCGTGGTGATCGGAGGCTTCTACAACGGGGAGAGGTGGGCTTTAACATGCAGTCACACATACATCAACACTCCCCTCACTCAACATCGAACATTCAGGGGAACCGCTCAGATTGAAATGAAACGGGAGTAAATACAATCAGATAACATAAAGGATGTGAAACGATAATAACAAAATCAATATGAAAGAATAACTCGTTTCTATGTTTAGAGATGGTTATTAACGATCAGTTTCCACTTGATCGCTCTCAAGGAAGTGCACGAACGTGTCGCATAGTTCCTTGAACTGGGGAGAGGTGTGTTTTCTCTCATATCAAGTGTTGGTCTACAGATTTAAAGGTCTCCCATTGTACTATTTTTAAGCAGGGTTTCCCACACATAGACTTTATACGTATATTAACGTCCACCAAAGTATATTTCTCGACCCATCTAGGTTTATTCGATATGATCCGTCCCTGAGCACGACGCTATCTGCGATCGATTAACTAGTGGACAATGATCCCTCGCTCTACCCCGCCTGTACCTGTTCGCTCTGCTATTGCGTGAAGGGTCTGCTTTATGCGCTCCGCAGTAACCCCGCTGCGAGGCTCCGGCGAACAGTTCATGAGCGTGCTCCACTGGCCCCCCCCCCACCCATTCTCGGCTACCACCACAAGTATATTTCAGATCTGTAGGAAACACTGTTAAGGCATATATTATAGGACTCGGATATATAAAAAAACATGTTTCTCAAAATACCATGAACAGCTCATTCAGGAGAATTCTCTCATCAGAAACTCAGCTAAACGCTGCCGTGTTTAAACGCCATGTCAGTGTGAGAAAAAGTTTTTAGAGAGTACTTGTCCATGGACAAGTGAGTTTGACAATTTACTTGTCCGAATACATTTTTCACTTGTCCAGAATGGACACAAATTGGGGCCACTGGAATCTTCTTCTTCTCCATTGTATTTTACATTTTCCCACGGTTTTTAAGACACCGCTAACGTAAGTGAGCGGTTAGATTTTACTGCATCACACATAGGTTTGGGTATCGTTTGGATTTTAACGATTCGGGTTCTGCTTTTCGATACCAGTTATTTTCGGTTCTCGATTCCGGTTCTTTCAGAGGGTAAAAATAAGTCCCATGGCAAACTGGGAGATAAATATATTTATGAAAACATTAAGTCGAATCTGTATTCCTATTTACAAATCACTTCATACTGTTTAATTTCTTACGGTTATTGAATACAATTATATAAAAATAATCTCTGCATTGTTTAGTTAGTTCTAAGTGGTGCAGTTTGAGAATGTACAATTGGCCCAGTCTCCTCTGATGTTACACTGCAACCTGCCTGTGAGACAGAGTCCAACCACACAGTCTGTGTGTCCAACCACACAGTCTGTGTGTCCAACACATGTCCTGCAACACACATGCTGCAACCTTCCTGTGAGACAGAGTCCAACCACACAGTCTGTGTGTCCAACACATGTCTTGCAACACACATGCTGCAACCTGCCTGTGAGACAGAGTCCAACCACACATGTCCAACACATAGGCCTAATAATAATAATAATACATTATACACTATATTTATAGCCTAAGGCCTAGTGCTTTTCTACAACTCAAAGACGCTTGCACGCTTACACATGTCCTGCAATACC